GATCACATTCCATGTTCCGATTAGTATATCGATAACCCTGTTGATAACTTTGTCGATAAAAATACCGATAACAATATCCATAAACATATAGAAAAATACAAAAACTGCAAAAGCGATTAATTCATCGATAAATATAACAGTCATCAGTATCGATTATTGTACATATCTTTAACAATATAAATGACTAAATCGATCAAAAAATCAATTATTTAATCGATTATTATACCGATTACAATATCCATTATTGTATCGATAACAATATCGATTATTATATTGATTATTATATCGATTACAATAGCGGTTATTTAATCAATAACACTCGGTAACAATATCGATTATTTTATCGATAACAATATCGATTATTATATCGTGAAAAATATCGAGTTTTATATCGATCTTCATCCTCATCCTTTTCTTCATGTTTATCTTTATTTTTGCATATTCCTCTTCACCATTACCTTAAAGTGGTTAGATTTACTTTGATCTTCGTTTTGCCTGTACCTCTAGGCATCTTTGTTTTTGTTTTTATTCTCAAACCGCTAAACCGCTGAGAACCATTTCCATGTGCATTATTCCCCTTGAATTTGACAATTTACTCCCAACCAACCAACTACCGCTAAAGCAGTTTCACTTCATAAATTCAGTTACCCTACTTCTTATGTATCTGTCATTGTCTCCATTTTCGTCTTTATTTTCACTTTTGCCTTCTTTTTTTGACTTCATCTTCGTTCATTTATTTCTTCATCTTCATATTTATCTTTATTTCTAAGCTTAATTTCAAATCTGTAGTGAAACAACAGGCGAAACATGTCAAATTGAACATGTTGCAGCAACATGTATACACAATTCGAAAATGTTTAAACGACGGTTTTGGCCGTAATTTTCAATCAATTGTAAAACCATAAAAACTCTGCCTTTCCAACGGTGTTCTTGGTTTTGAAATCGGTTCGGTAGAATCGCCAAACGAACGGAGACAAAATTTATGTTAGCGTATTAATATATAGATTATCAAAAAACACTTCAGAGAAAAAAATGTTTAATTTTGGGTGAATTTTTTTCTTTAAGTGTGTATAAAATCTGAAGCTTAGGTTTATATGGTATTTGTTAGGGAATTAACTGCATTTTAATTGAAAAATCTTAAATAATGCTACGGTCTTAAACTCCGTATACTTCATTAAATGTTTTATTCAAGGATTTACATATTTATGTAAGCTAACAAAAAGATGTAACTACATCAATAATTATGTTCGCTCAAGTACCTCAAAAAGCTGACAGTTTTCGTGTGGTACTTAAGCGGGTTTTACTGTACTTTTGTACTCACATTCATTTGTTTCCCAAAGAATTCCGGTTGCATTCCTTAATTCTAGGTACAAATGCAAACCATATCTTGCCATGATAATTCTAAAAATTCATAAGAAAACTTTGAAAACGATTGCATTCCTTCATTTTAGGTACAAATGCATATCATATCTTGCCATGGTAATTCAAAAATTCAAAAGAAATCTTTGCAAAACGGTTGCATTCCTTCATTTTAGGTAAAAATGCAAATCATCTCTTGCCATGATAATTCCAAAATTCAAAATAAAACTTTGAAATACGGTTGCATTCCTTCATTTTAGGTAAAAATTCAAATCACCTCTTGCCATGATAATTCAAAAATTTAAAAGAAAACTTTGAAAAACGTTGCATTCCTTCATTTTAGGTAAAAATTACATAGGAATATATTTGGGTCCAGCCAGACCTATGTGTTACGAATGTGAAGTATTAACCAACATGTCTATATATCTAGCTTTATATACATAAATGATACCAACATGACTTTTTTAAAGATTGGTAATTCACTAAACTTTAGAAAGCTACCTGAAATTTCAAGCCTCTAGCTATATTTAAAGTGCCATTTTTTGTAATTTGAGAATGGAAAAGGCCTGGCTGGGCTCATGTGTCAGACGAAGGGTTAATATTCTTATAATTTTTCGGCAACCTCAGGGCTGCATATCGACTAGCAGAAGCCATTCTGTTGTCTAAATATAAAGTTGTTCACTCATAAAATAAATTATCTTGCTTAAAGTGGTATTGCAAAGGCAAGATAATTTATTTTATGAGTGAATGTCGTTATTGCCTGTTCTTGGCTATGGAGAAGTGTTATTAAATTCATTTAAGTCTTACCTGCCAACAATGAGTTGAATATTACGGCTGGAAAATAATGATGAAAATAAAGGACACGACCCATTGTCCAGAATGGAACATAGTGAGTAGTCCATCCCATAAAAAACACAGTGGCTGCTTTCACATATGTCCTTTGCATTTCTACAGTCTCTGTAAAATAAAAAACAAAGAAGTAAATACATATGTACTTTAAGGTGACCATATGTGAAAAGAGCATATTCGGGCAGATCACAATTACATTGAAATATTAAGTTGTACTTGTACTTAGGGCTGCCGTATTTCTCTGTTGCCAAACCGGGACACTGTGGTAAATCTAATAGCGTTTTCTATTCTCAAAAAAAGTTCTCCCCTTTTATATGGGAACTCTTGCTTTGCGTTGCCCTGAAACCTGAGAAAATGTTGCGTTCTTAACATGAGAATGAAAGAGAAAATATACTACTCCATCACAATTTATTTATAGAACTTAATAAAGCTTAATTATTCACTTGGCCTGTAAGTCTTTAACAATTTTAAAGCAACCCATTATTTCTGGTAGGGAAAATATTTGCATTTTTACAAGAATAAATTAAAAATCAACCATGCAACTCTCACAATCACGTTTATTTGAGGGCAGAAAAGGCAGCACTTTCGCCGGATAAGAGCGCAACCTGCTGAGAAAAGAACACGACGCCTTGTGTCAGGGCTGAGAAAAGAACATGAAAATGTGCCAGCGCTAACACAAGGCAGAATAAGTGCAGCCTTTTTTCGAGAAAAGAAAACGCTATAACACAACAATTATGACTACTAGGTATGGCCAAGGTGTATTAAAAAAGGTGGGGTTGACAACTCAGTGAGGCTCTCTTTTAAGGTATTATAACGTCAAAAAACAAATGAAACAAATCAACGAAAAATTACACTGAAGATGGCACAACGCCGAAACCGGATTGTCTGCAAACCAATCTTGACAAGGGATGACGGTAATTCGTTCTAAAATAAATCATAAACAAATGACGCACTCTTCTGTGCAAGCGGAAAGGAATTTCTACTTTCTTTCTTTCTTTGGCATTTTTATGTTCTATAAAGTTTGTCGCGAAAACTTACATTGGAAGTAAAGCACGCACGAAAAACAAACGAGCAAAACAAATAAATAAAATTATAGTTTAAAAAAGTAAAACCTCCCCATTATCATTGCCATTCGTACTGTCATCAGGTATGTAACTTGAGAATAGAAATCGGTGCATCTTTTAGGCGCATCAATATTACATAGTTACATCCCGAGCTATTAAAGGAAGGTAAAAAATAGCTGATGCTAATAAGAAAGGGCAGTTTGCACACTCTAAAAAGTGCTTGTAGAACTACTACTGAAAAGTGCCTATTTTTCCAACAGAATCTATGTAAATATACGCATAAGATGTTCAAGATTTGATTTTGAACATTCGATGTTTAAAATATATACATAGATGTACATATGATATGTTTAAAATTGCAAAAATTTTGAAAGTAAAAACACATTTTCTACTAATAATAGACATGAACTGACATTTACTCAATTTTCTACATTTTAAGTGTAATTTTGCTCCACGCGATAAATTTGGCAAGTAAAAGTAAACTGACAGTGTTTGATTTTGCACACATTAGGAGGGGAATCTGGTTAACTCTCTTCAAAAGCGTAAATTTAAATAAAAAAAAATTTTAAAGCAAATTTATACATTTGGTGTGTAAACTGTGAAATTGTGAACATTAAGTGTTTAGAATTCAATAAACATACATATTTTAAATTTGTTCTACGCTAAACATATGATAAGCACAAGTAAACAAGCAGTGTTTAATTTAGTTAACACAGTGTGTAAATTTTCACTGGTAACTGGAAACTGGTTACCTATCTTAATATGCGCAAATTTAAACTCAAATTTTTTAGAGTGTATATCGATCATCAAATATTGCTTGCGCAGAGTCCAACTATGTGGACATGTAACTATTTCACAAAGGACACCGGTAGTGATTTTTGAACTTATTAAAATTAGGGCATATAAATTGAAAACCGGGACACTTAAACGAAACCCGGGAAATTTTAAGGTTGGACCGGGACACTGGGAGAAATAGTCTAAAACCGGGATATGTCCAGGAAACCGTCTGGCAGCCCTACTTGTACTATTACTTTTGATACTTATAATATCTTTTTTGAATTTTTCAAATGAATTTCTATGAACATACAACGTATTGTGACATAATGCTTATCTATACTAATTATATAAAGAGAAGTCCCTTTTTTTGTAACAGGTAATCTCGCGAACGGCTGGTCAGATTTTCATGAAATTTTGTATACAAATAGCTTTCGGTAACCACCATGTTTTCGGCAAAAAAAATTTTTACTTTTTTCGGGTAGGTGGACCAGGAACCGGTCTATTCGAAAAAATCTTATTATAGTCCGATTTGCTTCAAATTTAGTACGTAAGTAGCTTTTTAGCATATATTAGCATACATGACCCATTTTTTCCGGGAAGTGGTCAGGGACCGATCTATTCGAAAAAATTGAGTTTACGGTCCGATTTGCTTAAAATTCGGTGCGCAGGTAGCTTTTTAGCATGTATTAGCATATGGGATCAATTTTTTCAGAGAAGTGGACCAGGGACCGGTCTATTCCAAAAAAATCGTATTTACGGTCCGATTTGCTTAAAATTCGGTACGTAGGTAGCATTTTAGCATATATGATCCATTTTGTCCGAGAAGTGGACCAGGGACCGATCTGTTCGAAGAAATCGTATTTATGGTCCGATTTGCTTAAAATTCGGTACATAGGTAGCTTTTTGCCTGGATAAGCTTATAGATTCCTGTTTTCCAATTTTCATGCAATTTCGAATATAAATAGCTTTAAGTAACGACCATATCAAGTCAAAATATAATTAAAATATATAATATATCTCAACTAATATTTACTTAGAAAGCCGTTTGTTAGTTTTCGCAAGGCTCGAGAGCGGCTGAA